AATTAGAGGTCACCTGACGAAATGGTTTCGTCAATCGTCAATGGCGAAGGTTTCGTCATTCGTCAGGCATCTTTAATCGGTACGGGTCACTTTTGTCGATCTTACCATGCTTCGTAACGATTTTGTTCACAGTTTTATTGGCCACGTTTACTTTACCCGTTACAGTGTATATGCCTTTGCTTTATTCAATAATTAATAAAATGCAAGATTTTGCAGGCGTAAATTACTTTTTGCAGTATAATAATACACTTCGTGAAATTTCAATATCACTCCGTTCCTAATCGAAGATGACTATTCAAAATATTATTTATTCCATTAACACCACGGACTATTTAGTCTTCTTCATCTTAATCATCATTATTTATATATTTAACTTTTATTATAAATATTTAACTCGTTCCAATCCACTTCCCAGTCCACTACCTTTGCCATTCATTGGAAACCTTCATAATTCGGCTTTGGTGTAGAACTATTCTATAAACAATGTCAAAAAAAATATGGAGGTATAAGTGAAACGATGTTTAATCGTAGATATATTATTTTCTCACGTCCAGAATATGTTGAAAAACTTTTTGATCATAAGTTATTTTTCATGTAGCTTCCACATTCTCAAGGTACAGTTGAAATGGGAATGTATGGACATGGAATTGTCTTCAATGAAAATTACGAAAGTTGGAAATACAATAGTAAATTCTTTACGGATGCCTTTGTGGCACAGAAATTTATAGATAATGCCGTGAAGCCTACATGTAAATTGTATGAAGAATTGAGCAGCTATTGGCAGTCACTTAGAAATCAAAATAATTCAAATAGAAATAATGATAATTGGACACTAGAAACAGATTTTTCTGCCTGGCTTCACGGATTTGCAAATGATATTGCTTCAATAATAATCACTGGAGAACGTACATACTCAATTACATCTTGTTACAACAAACAAAGTCTTATCAAATCTGAATGTCCTAACGCGTTAGTCGAGGATGGAGACAAATTTATTAAATCAATCATGAAATTTGTTGAAAGTATCATGTTCTTCGCACTTCTCAGCCCATTCTTAAGGCATTACATTCCAATAATCAAAAATAAATCAAATGATCTTTTGAAAAATCGTGATTACTTATTTGAAAAATTTGATAACATGATTAAGAAGAGAAGAAGAGAGGTCAAAGAAATGTTAGTAGATATAGAAATGAGAACCGTTATGCTTACTTCTTTAATTATGGCAAACACGAATATGAGAGCATCAAATGACGAAGCGAGTGAAGATATTAGAGGTAATTTATTAGATGTTTCTTGGGAGGAACAGATACTGTGAGTATTGCTTTATAATTAATATATATTTTTGCATGCTATTTCCGGTATTTATTAACTTTGATTTATCAATTTTTAGACTGCAAATTTATTTTGCTTCATAATTTATTATATTTGTAAACATCCATATGTAAAACAAAAAATGCTTTCAGAAATTGATTATAATTTACCTAAATCTTCTGATAAGTTTTATATATCATACGATGTTCTCCAAAAACTAAGATATTGTGAAGCAATAATTAAAGAAACTTATCGTATGATGCCAATTATTCCTTTTACATTCCGCACTACTACTGAAGAAATTGAAATTGCAGGATACAAATGGCCTTCTGGGACATCTTTTATTTTGAATTTTTTGGCTGTACACGGTAACTCTGAATTTTGACCCGATCCAGAAGTTTTCAATCCGGATAGGTTTTATTGTGGTGATCAAGGTGATAAAAGGCTTGGCGACAAATCAGCATTTACGATGTTTGGTGGAGGCAAGCGAATATGTCCTGGAAGAAAGTTTTCAGTGGTTGAGTTACTTGTATTAATGGCGTTAGTATATAAGAACTATAATGTTGAGTTGGTGAATATTCATGAACCTTAAAAACTTCTTTCTATCACAACTACAAAATTGTAAGGAACTTAAAGTTAGAATTAGTCCCCGAACATGATTTATTAAGTTTTCTGGTGATTATTGCACAAATTTTGTAACCGTTAACGAATAGCATTATTATTGTCATTATAGATGTTGCAAGTGACATAAAACTATTTGAAGTAAAATATTTTAATATAATATGAACTTATATTGTACAACACAAATTTGATCTAATTTCAAATTATATATACTTGACCCTCGTTAATATCAACCTAAACAATAAAATGGCTTTCTATATATTTAAAATATATTAAAATTCCCTCATATACGCCAACTTTAATATGATCACTCATTAGAGATATGCCATTTATAGGATAGCCTAATTTTGTTCACGTACAGTATGTAGAGTACGTATAATATTCTACTAGCCTCAGAGCATGTCCTTACTTCCATGCTACAGTAATTATAAGATATAATCAAAGTATATAGCTACATTATTGAAATAATTTCAAAGGCAACTTGACATTATTGCATGATGGGTTCGGTCACAATTTTCATAGTCAATTTTCTAAATACTGAGATGATTTCTTATAAGTGGAAAAAGAACGATACCTTCTCTGGAACCCAGAATTTCCAATTCGGGGTCGTCTAAAGTCGTGTACCCACGTGACTTTTTTGTGTAAATCGACCAACCGGAATTGCGAAATTTTGTTTTCACGGATCAGCCCGAAGAAGTCAAAAAATAAAGAAACCGCAAAAAGACGAAAAACGACAGTCTTAACCTATCTTGGG